GAGTCTGCTTCTCCCTCTGACCCTCCCCCCTCTCATGTGCTCTCTCTCATTCTCTCTCTCTCAAATAAATAAATAAAATCTTTAAAAAAAAAATATTAAGGAAAACAATTTCGAAGTGGCTTTAACTTGATAAAATTCTATATGACAATCTCTTAATTATGTTTTCAGAAGTGAAGAAAATATCAATAATTATTCATGGAAGAGTTATAGCACTTTTAAGACCACAAGAATAGAAAATTCACATAAAATAAAGCAGACATAAAAGTTTGTTCAACCTCATTAATAATTTTAATACACATTTATAATTTTTATTAACATTAAAAATCAATAACAGCCAAAGTTGTACAGGACATAAAGAAACACATGTATTATTGATGGAAGTGTAAATTAGCACAAATTTCCCTTTGGAAATCACCTGAGGCATAGAATGTAGTCTTTGATAGCAAACATCACTTAACAGAATTTATCCTAAGGAAATATTTCTCCAACAATAAACTACATGCTTGTAGTATAAGTAGCCTTATTTACAATGCTGGAAAGTTGAAAACTCCTAATGAACAAAAACTAAAGATGACAATATTATTACAGCACATAAAGTTGATAAAACATTAATCATTAAAATGTTCATTCTACAAATTATGAAGCAGCATAAGAAAAAATATTATGGAAAGTAACAAAAGGAGACTATAAGAGTAAATCTAAACTATGATTGTAACAGTACCAAAAGCATTCATGTCAGTGGGCAAGATATGGGAAAAAACTAGTTAATGTGCTAAGTGGGTAGAACTGTGAGTGAATACTTTTTTGTGTTTGCTTGTTGATATTATGTTGTTTATATAATAAAGTGTTACTATTTTGTGTTTTAAGGATATCAATGGGAAAGATGGAATAAGGATCTGAAAAAAAACTTTTCCTCCATAAAAGCAATGAGAAACTGGAAAAAAAATTATAAATAAATATCAACTTTTTCAGAACCTTGGAAATTAACCAAATGCTTGCAAGATCCAAGAAGTGTTTAATTAAGAAAATTACTATCAATAAGAACCAAGTTTTGTTATTACTTTGACTTGCCCTAATTCCATTGTCTTTTCTCAAGATATGCATTAACCTTAAAATCCAACAGCCTCACAGCCTCAGTACTATGGAGGGGGCAGAAAGGGTTTGGAGTTTCCCAAAATCCCCATTCCCAGACAACTGCTATTATCTGACCTATCTGGAGTTCCCTGGAAACACCTACTCAAAAGGCTTGGCTTTATCTGACCTCAGAGTTCACTCACTGCAAATGGTTTTTCTCTTGGGGAATTTGTCAAAAATAATCATCAGCAATTGTTTAACATTGCAGCTACCTGAGGCAGTGATAACAGTTGATACAAACAAGAAGCTGACCAAAATACTTAAAAAGTTCCTCTGGGAAGTAAGATGACCCTAGGGGGCATTGAAAATCTCCAATATAGGGGTGCCTCGGTGGCTCAGTTGGTTAAGCATCCAGCTCTTGATTTCAGCTCAGGTCATGATCTCAGTCCCGAGATTGAACCCTGCATCAGGCTCTGCACTCAGCAAGGAGTCTGTTTCACTCTCCCTCTCCCTCTGCCTATCCCCCTGCTTGCGCTCGCTCTCTCTATATAAAATAAATTAATAAATCTTTAACAATAATTAAAAATAAGAAAAAAACAAGATTGAAATAACAGAAATCAGGAATGTAAAAGGGAACATTGCTACCAACCTTACAGAGATAAAAAGGGTTAATGAGAATATGATAAGTAATTATTTCCCCCATGAATTAGACAACCTCAGTGAAATGGATGAATTCTTACACAGGCAGAAACTGTCAAAACTAACTAAAAAACAAATAGGAAATCTGAATAAAACTATAACAAGTAAAGAGATTGAATTAGTAATTAAAAACTTACACAAAGGAAAGCTCAGTACCAGTTGGCTTTACTGGTAAATTCTACTTAACACATAAAGAAAAAATAACACCAAATCTTCACAGATGCTACCAAAAAGTAGAGTAGGGAATACTTCCCAATTCATTCTAGGAGGATAGTATCATCCTGACATGCAAATCAGAAGAGACAACCCAATAAAACTGCAGACCGCTATTTCTTATGAATATAGATGCAAAAATCTTCAACAAAATACTAGCAAACTGAATCTAGCCACATATAAAAACAATTATATGCCATGACCACGTAGAATTTATACCAGAATATGAGGCTGGTTCAATATACGAAAATCAATTAATTTAATACCCTATGTTGATAGAATAAAGGACAAAACCAAATGAATATCTCAATAGAGGCAGGAAGTCATTTGACAAAATCCAACATTCTTTCTTGATTAAAAAAGAATACTCAACAAACTAGGAATAAAACGTAATTTCCTCTGTATCTTTGGGTTAAACACCTAGTAGTGCAAAAATACAGATGTAGTGAAAAGAAGGGGCACATGCACCCCAATGTTCATAGCAGCAATGTCCACAATAGCCAAACTGTGGAAGGAACCGAGAGGCCCTTCAACAGATGAATGGATAAAGATGTGATACATATATATAATGAAATATTACTCAGCCATCAGAAAGGATGAATACCCACCATCTGCATCGGCATGCATGGAACTGGAGGGGATTATGCTAAGTGAAATAAGTCAATCAGAGAAAGATAATTATCATATGATTTCACTCATATGTGGAACATAAAAATAGTGCAGAGGACCACAGGGGAAGGGAGGGAAAACTGAATGGGAAGAAATCAAAGAGGGAGACAAACCATGAGAGTCTCTGGATTCTGGGAAACAAACTGAGGGTTACAGAAGGGAGGCGGGTGGGGGAATGGGGTAACCGGTTGATGGGTATTAAGGAGGGCACGTGTGGGATGAGCACTAGGTGTTATATGCGACTAATGAATCATTGAACACTACAACAAAAACTTATGATGTACTACTATATGCTGGCTAACTGAACATAATAAAAAAAAAAAAAAAAAGGTAATTTCCTCAACCTGATAAAGGGCATCTAAGAAAAACCCACAGCTAACTTTATAATTAATGGTGAAAGATAAAAGCTTTCCCCAAAAAGATTAGAAACAAGAAAAGATTTCCCAATCTTGCCACTGTATTCAAGGTCCTAGGCAAGAAAAAGAAATAAAAAGCATCCAGATTAGAAAGAAAGAAGTAAAACTATCCCGTTCACAGATGACATGATTTTATATATGGAAAATCCTAAGGAATCTAAAAAATTTATTACTGCTAATAAACAAGTCCAATAAGGTTGCAGAATATAATATCAATATAAAAAATCAATTGTATTTCTACATGCAAGCAAAGAACAATCTAAAAATGATATTAAGAAAACAATTTCATTTATAACACGATTGAAAAGAATAACATACTTCAGGATAAATTTAACCGAAGAAATATAATATTTGTAAAGTGAAAACTATAAAACATTGTGGAAAAAAATTAAAGAAGATCTAAATAAATGGAAAAACATCCCATCAAAATTAAAAGCCTTTGTGCTTCAAATGGCACTATCAAGAAAATGAGACGAAAATCCATAGAATGTGAGAAAATATTTGCAAATCATATATCTGATAAGGAGCTTGTATGCAGAATATATAAAGAGCTCTAACAACCCAATTAAAAAATAGGCAAAAGATTTCTCCAAAGAAGATATACAAATAGCCAATAAGCACATGAGAAGATACTCAACATCATTAGTCATTAGGGAAATGCAAACCCAAACCACAAAGAAAAAAATAATACCATTTCACCCCCATGAGGATAGCTGTAATAAAAAACACAGATAATAACAAGCATTGGCAAGGATGTAGAGAAATTGGAACCCGTAAACAATGCTGGTAAGAATGTAAAATAGTTTAGTTGCTTTGAAGAACAGTTTTATGGTTCTTCAACAAGTTAAGCACTGAATTAACTATGATCCAGCAATTCCACTCCTAGGTATATATCCAAAAGAGTTGAAAACATATGTCCTCACAAAAAGTTGTACATGATTGTCCATAATAGCATTATTCATCATAGCCATAAATGTCCATCAGTTGATAAATGGCTATTGAAAATGCGGTATATATCCATACAATGGAATATTATTCAGCTACAAAAAGGGAATAAAGTATTAATACCTGCTACAATACAGATGAACTTTGAAAACATGCTAAGTAAAAGAAACCACACACAAAAGCCCACATGTATGACTCTATTTACATTAAATGTCCAGATAGGCAAATCTACAGATACTGAAAGTAGATTTGTGTTTACCAGGGGCTGGGAAGAGAGAATGGGGACTGTTAATAGATACAGGGTTTCTTTGAGGCTTGTGAAAATGTTCTGGAACTCGATAGTGGTGATAGTTGCATACCTTTGTGATATATTAAAAATCCATGATTTGTACATTTTAAGAGTAGACTTTATGGTGTGTAAGCTAAATCTCATTAGAAAGGGAAAACTGACCTAGCTCAGATTTGTATCATACTATCTTATGATCTGGAAACCCCTAGGGTACTGAGCTAGTTGTAAATCCTCAATGAAAGAAGTCTGTGGCTGTTTAATTCTTTTTTTTTTTCTTTGTTCTGTTTTTTAAGATCTCTTACCAACCCAAGGACCAGTCTCATGGGGCAATGAGCTCGCTTTGTGTCTCCCAAACTCCAGGCAAGAATACATCAAGCGGTGCTAAAGGAAGGGATCTGTACAACTCCTCCCACCACGGTAATGAAGAGTTCAAAGTGCATCTTACTACTAAGTTTGCTGCATCCTCTCCACATACAAAGATGGAGAAGGCATGGTCTGCTTGACTAGGAGTCACGAGACCTGTTTTCTAATCTCAGCTCTGCTATTAACTTATTTAAGCCTCAGTTTCCTTATCTGTAAAACAAGTGGTTGGTACCGAAAGTCTCCTAGGTCTACAGAGATTCTGAGATCTTAGGAAGGAAATCCCCTTCATCTCCCACTCCTCTACTCCAACACACTCACCCATAAATAAGAAATGTTCAGCCATGACAACTGGCCAAAAAGAGATAGGCTTTGTAGGGTGGTTAATGGAAAAAGAACAGAAAAAGAAGTAAAGCAACTCAAGGAATGGGACCCTCAGAGACTGAAATCATCCTATCCAGCCAGTTTCTAGGTCTGTGAGGTGTGCAACTTTGGGATTGCCTCTATGTGGTCCTGATTCTGTTCACTGGAATGTGGACCTGTGCTCACAGAAAACCTATTCGATACTGCCCGTCCTTGATACATGCTTTTCCCTCTGGCAGCACAGGGCAGGTGTTCAGCAACCCTCCATTGCTCCCACAGTACATGGGGTGGGGGTCATGGGCACACCCCAAAAGCTCATCAAACCATCCTCAACCACTCCAAGGCCAAGTGGGCTCCCCCAGAAGATTTCTGGTAAATGCAGGAGTATGTTTTTCTCCCTCCCCATTATATTTCCAGGATTTTTTCAGTGTCCTTTATAGCTGGAGTCTCTTATTCCCATCTACAGGCCACCCCTCAGTCTGATGCTTTTCTCAGTTATCTAACTACAGAAGATGACCACCTCCCAGCATGGCCAACCCATAGGCAAGGGCCCAGGGATGGGTTCAGAGGAGGTACTAAGGAAAAGCACACCATTCCAGTGCTACTCCAAAGAACCTGCATCTTCCAATGCTTCAAGCAGCATACTCATTGGACGGACAGTCAGGTGGCCATTCCACTCCAGAGGCTTGTTCCCTTCCCACCCTGGGGGAGAAGCAGAACCTATAGGTACCAAGCTCCCCACCCCAGGGAAGGGAGCACTCCCTCCAGACACAGTTGAAGAAGTCTGAATGAGAATGTCATGCACAACCCCTCACAAGACCGAGGCACCCATCTCTCTGTTTAACTTAGCTTCTGAAATCATTCTTGATAATGAGATCTGCCATGCCTCCATTTTATTTCCTTCTATACAGTAGATTAAGGAGTAAAGTCCACTGCAAGAGCCTGTAAAATCAAGATAACAGTGATCAAGAGGAGCCATTACCTGGAATATGACTTGACTCGCTTCTTGGCCTTCAAAAATAGAAAATGTCTTGGGTTCCAGGGGTCCACTAAACTTCCCCTCTTGGCTATATCCAATTGTCTGTTAAAAAAGGAAAGACAAAGAGAAAAATTGGCATACCCATCATTATGAATATATACGTCCCTCTTGCTGATTTTATTAAGGCTTCCAGGACTGACATATGAAACACAAGATTCTAAACTAGCTCAAAACAATGCAAAATGTAGTCAAAACAGGTAGAAAGAGATTTTTGATATTCTTGAGCTTCTACTATGTCAAGACGGCTTGCCATGAGCCTTACACTGTCTTTCTCATTTGACCATTCCAGCAATCACCGTACGGGGAGAATATTAACACTCCCATGTTACAAGTGAGGCTCACAGAGGTGAAGCTACTTGCGCAGAGTAAATTCCACAAGTGGCTGACAGGGCACACACAGGGGGGTCTGACTGAACCAGTTTCTATCTTCCCACAGTGCCACTCTGCCTTCTAAATACCACACAGTTTTATACCAGCTTCTTAAAACACCTCTCCTCTACTCAGGTTAGTTTATAAGAACATTTCTGGCAGATTGCCAGCACCCCACAGTTTAGTCACTTCAAGGACAACTGAATTTATAAGGGAGAGAAATATGTAGATGTGTTGAGTCCAGTGCTTACTCTGCACACCATTACATGGTACATTTTAGTCAAATCTGAATCTGAATCTGAACTGTGACTTCAAGAAACACTTCCTGTTTTAACATTTGATTAGCAATCTATACTCATGTAGGAAAAAAAAGAACAAAATGTTTACTTTAAGCAGTAGCCCTACGATGTTTCTAAAGCCCAAAGCCCCTGAACTTGAGAGGCAAGCAGCCCCCTCTGCAGACCCCCAAATCCAGGCTGGGATAGCAGTACGTGGTGGCTGCGACAGGGAAAAGAGGAATCAGTATGCGGTGAGCTCAGTCCTGAGCAGTTAATCCTGACAACAACTTGGGGACAAATTCTGACAGTTAGCTCTGTTTTACAGGCAATGAGACTAAGATGCTGAGAGGTGAAGCAATTTGCCCAGGTTGGGACGGGAAGCAGGATTCGAACCTATGGCTGCGATGGGTGCTCTCAGCCACTGTGCCCCACTACCCACCAGAGGGAGCAAAAATGGCCAGGACAATCTGGCAGGAAAACAGGAGCATCAAGGATGTGCAGGAGGGTGTGACTCCCACTGTCCCCAGCCCAGGAGGATGAGGAGCCTACTGCAGCCCTTGCCATCCCTCCATCTTCCACCATGACTGTGCCTCTAAAGGAAGCTGAGCACAACATGCGGCACACGCAGGGACAGCCAGCCATCAGCCCACCCACAAAGGGCACCCTCTAGAACGAGGGACTTAGCTCCCATACCCAAAGCTGGTGTCCCCTCCTTCTTGTGTGATTCTTCAGGTCTCCAACTTGTGTAGAAACCAGGGGTGGGATAGGTTAGGATCAGAAGTATAATATGAGAAGTATATGGTTTGGGAGCTAGAGAGGTAAAACCAAGAAAGTAAGAAGAACTAGGGGGAAGAGAATTTGGTGTTTTCCACTTCTTTAGGGAGAGCAAGTACACTCTTGGGATGGACATACTGAGAATAATAATCTGGATAAGAGTATGGGGGAAAAGCTTCCACTATGCCCCTTGGTTCACTGAATCTCGATTAACTTGATACCAGTTATCTGGCAAATGAAAACACAGAGGGCTTTGGAATCTGGTCCCCTCACCCTCAGAGTTGTAGCAGGCTCATGGACTAGCTGCCCCCAGCCATTGCCCACCTCTCTCCCTTGGGAAGCCATCAGGGCAGCCAAGTGACCCAGTTTTGGCTCATGAAACAAAAGGTGAAATCTGCTGGGGGAGTCCTGGTCAAGCTTTTATTCTCCCAATGAAAAAAGACAGATGTGGCTGGATTTGCCACCCCCTTCTCTGTTGTTCTTGCTCAGACAATAGACCTCATGTCTATGGCTGTGGTGGTTGTCATGAAACCATGAAGGGACAAACCAACTCAAATAATGGGGGAGCAAAGAGAAAGAAGCTCAAGTCTCTGGTCACATCACAGAAATGCAAAACCTGCCTTGGGATGCCCACTTCAGGCTTCTTGTTATCTGAGGAAAAGAAACCTCTCCTTACTAAGCTGCTCCAAAGTTGAACTTCCTGTTGCCTATATTTTTTTTTTTTTT